GTCAGAGCATGTTTGTCCACCCCTGTTGAACAGAATCCTAAAATGATTTGTGTTGGAAGGGACTAAAGATCATCTGGTTTCAAGCCCCTGCCATGGGCAGGGACACTTTCCACTATCCCAGGTTGCTTCAAGCTCCATCCAACCTGGCCTTGGACAATTCCAGGGATGGGGCAGCCACAGCTTTTCCATGCCAGTGCCTCACCACCCTTATCATAAATAATTTCTTCATCATATCTACTTTGAATCTCCCTGCTTGTAATTTAAAACCATCACCCCTTGTCCTATCACTACAGACCCTACTAAAAAAGTCTGTCTTCTTCTAAGCCCCCTTTAAGTACTGAAAGGCCAACAAGTCTTGCCCTATCACCTCCAGTGCCCGTCCAAATGCCAGCTAGAGATCCAACAGCACTGAAAAAAAATCAGGAAAGTACAGGATAACCCCAGCATCCCAGCCACCATCCCCTCTCCCACCACAAGCAGGTCCTCTGCCAGCAACTGTGCCAGCTATTGTTGGGCACATAAAGCCTGGTCCACGGGGCCTGCTGTCAGCATGCAGCTCATTACTCTGCAAAGGGCTTTGAAATGCTTGGAATATGAAAGGTGCTCCATCAGACCAAATTCAGCTCGGTTTGCTATTACAATACAGTGCTTTTCTTTTGTCTGTGCCTTTTGATGATGTGCAATTGTTCCCCTCAGTCAGTATTTTGGAGTCATTAGTTGGAATTAGTAAAGTTCCCCAGCTGCCGGACTTTTCCAACGCTCTGTTCTCGGGCTACAAAGAGTCGGCGAGGAGTTGTCCTGCTCTCACTGAGCTGGAGGCACAGCGGGGAGCATCCTGGGGGGAGCAGGCAGTCTGCTCAACTCCACTTTCCCCCTGCAGGCACCGGGAAACGCGTGTGCCAACAAGATGCTGCGGGTGGTCGCAGGGGCGCCGGTGCCTCCTGGCCAGTGGGGAACCTGAGACCCTCTCATTTGGTACCTCTGGTGGGACCAGGTGAAGGGCTCCACCTCATCGTGTCCACATTTAGGCAGCACATCCCACAAAGTTCGGGTTTCTCTCCCAGGAATCCCCCACTCCCCATTTAAAGGCACCAGCACTGAAGAAGTCACCTTCCTGAGGGTGACAGGGACCTCTGCTTGGCATCCTCCACAGTGAAAACATGTGGATGTGCCTGACCTTGTCCTCTAATTTTTGCTCATGTTATGCCTTTCTAGCTACATCAGAAGGCCTCCTAGTATCAAGACACTTTTTCCTGAAGGCATTTATACATGGAACATACACCTCTGTGGGCAACCTGTGCCCATGTCTCATCACTAACAATTTGTTCCTTCTACCTTTTCTGAATCTACCCTCTTGCTGTAAAACCATTTTCCTGTGTTCTATTGCTCCAAAGTCCCTCTCCAGCTCTCTTGGAGGCCCTTTAAGCACTGGAAGGGGCTCTAAAGTCTCCCCAGAGCCTTCTCTTCTCCATGCTGAACAGCCCCAGCTCTCCCAGCCTGTCCACTGATCATTTTTGTGTTTGCCTCTGATAGAGGATTCATTCCTGTTCACCAACAAGCAGTTCCAGCAGACAAATGAAGTGATGAAGCTCCATGGGCTATGCCCATCTGATGTTGCTATCTGGCCCCTGCTCACACCTGTGACCAAGGTGCAGACCCTTCCTCATCCAGCCATCCCACCACATTCTTCTGGATGCAGCATGGGTATCTGGCCACTAGAACCCCAAAACAAAACCAGGAACAAACCAACCTTATGGGTATCCTTCGGGAGAAGAGCTCAGCACCAAACGCAGCTCCTTTAGCAGTTGGTCGTCTTTCACAAGGGATTGTACTTCCATCCCCTTGTGGTCTAGTGGTTAGAGTGCCTGACTCTCACCTCTGCGACCCGGGTTCGATTCCCGGCCCCCTGGGCAGGTGGAGCTCATCAGCCTTGGTAGGCAATCCACCTAAGAGAAGGTCACTCTAAACAAACCTACATCCTGGGGACCTCACTGCCACTGTCCAAGCTTTGCTCGGCCCCGGCAGATGAACCTCCGGACTAAAGGGTGGGCTCAGTTCAGCGCACGCTGTGTCTCACCTAAAAATCCACTGCGCAGGCTGGAAGGGTTAATGACCTTTCCCAAAAATCTTCACTTCCATCCCCCAAGGATTTCCCTGAAAATCATCTCATAGATCATCCCACCTAACACTCACAACAGCGTTTCCACTGCAACACAACCAAATGCAGACAATTCACACCTCTCACCTTGCATTTTTTAAAGTAACACAGTACAATAAAGCAGCCTGCCCAGATTCCAGCCTAATCTAAAAACAACTTTATGGCTTCTAATTTTAGCACTAATCTTCCTTTGCTATGGTTGTGTGATTTCTAATTATTTTATCCCCAAGCCTTGCTTTGATGGATAGTTGTACCTTTTCCAATGCCAAGTGACTTGTAAAGTGCCTTTAAAAAATACACTGATCATTTCAGATTCATTTCCACTTCCTACACAAATAATATTCTCATATATGGCTTCACTGCAGAAATATTATTATTATTAAAATAATAATAATAATAAAAGCAATGCAATTCAAAAAGGAGAGCTCCATTTCTTAGGACTGTCCCAATCTGCCCCTGCAAACACCATGTTTTCTCTCAGAAGTTGTTATAGAGCATAAATCCGTTATCGAGACACGGATCTCTCAATAATTCAGTGCCTTTGGCTTGGCAAAGCTCCCAGAACACTTTGCCTTTATCTAATCCCTATCTTCAGGTTACAACACGTCGAAGAGCACTTGGCCACACCAAAAACCTCGGGGGGGACTGTGCGAGGGACGACGCGAAGCAGCGGCAGAGACACGTTTGCTTTGACGCTCCCCGTGAGTGCCACCCGCCCAAATCCCCCGAGCTTGCAAATATCAGCCTTCAGCTGAAGATGCGTTCGCAGGGGTTCAGGATGAGCTTCAACCCCAAGGTCCTCGACAGGCAGGCGTTTTCTCTCCTACCACACTCACCTGAAGCAACCCCTTGATCCTCCTAATCGCTGACCCAGATCAAACCTGGATCTGATACCGTTAAATTCGCGCGAAAAAATATATACTGTGAAAGGGGATGCCTGAAGAATGTTTCAGGATGCTGAGCCTGCCTGACTCTGCCACGGGATTGCGCGTCCTTGTAGGACCTGCCACCAGCAGCCAGCACTGGAAGAGGGGATGCAGACACAGGACTGGTGGATGTTTGTTGGGTTATTTCCTTCCCCAGGATTTATACTGCGCTCCGGTCAATTGGAAAACATCCACTTGACCTGAGACCTTTTTGTTTTAGTTACTCTCCAAGCTTTGACAGCAGCAGTTTAAACACAAAGCATATGAGTTTCAGCACCGAGGAAGCACCCCATCCCTACAAATACTGAGTGGATGGGGAAAAGTATCATACTGCAGCTCTGAGGGTGAACATATTTCTTGTTTCTCATTCTTCATTTTCCTCTCCACTTTCTGAGCCTGTTTCACCATCCATGTCTTCTCCCTCCCCACTGGAAACCTGAGCTTAGCTCCCCACCACAATATTCAAGAGAAGGATACAGGTTGTGGTTTGTTTTAATTCCCTGCACAATGCTGTGTATAGAGTATTTGAAATGGAGATTGTCAAAACAGGAAACAACCCAGTCAAAGTCCTCAGGCCTGGATCCTGAAATGTCACCATACAGAGCTGTAAGGGATGGAGAAAAGCCCTCTGTTCCCACACGGAGAGAGGATGCTCTGGGAGAGCAGCCAGTGACACACCATCTGCCCTCATGCCATCCTGATCTTGGGAGCTGGGCTTTAACCTCTGCTGAAATCAGTGCAAATCTGTTTTTTATTAACTAGGGGGGGGAGGGGGGGGGGAACTCAGCAGACAGGGTTAAAAATTATAACCCTCTGTTGACTGATACTTTTATTGGCATAGACAATTTCATATGGAATATCAATGCGCTCAGGAAACCAACCCTACAGGAAATCCTTCACCCTTAGTGCTGCAGAGTAACCTCCACAGCATCCTGCTGGCTTCCTCCTTACTCCTCTCAAAACTCACCCCTGAGATCCTCGCCTCTAGAGCTCATGCTCTGAGTTTGAGTGGGTCTTGCTGGGATAGAAAAAATGAATCTTGGGTCAAATCCTGCCCATGCGCCTCAGGAAAAGCACGAGGCTGACACTGCACCTCCATGGGGATGCAGAGCAGAACAGTGTTTGGTCCTAGGTTCTTTGATTTCCACCTATCTTTGGAGCAAGGACTGAAAGTTTCTCAAAGTGAAAGTTTCTCAACAGTGATGCCAGCTTTGGAGGAAAGAATGCAGCTACTGTAAACCAAGATAAGTAAGATTTTCACAACTTATTTTTCTGCAGAAAACAGATGCTGGATCTATTTTTAAAAGCAGGCTCCTGAACCTGTAGGTTTTGAGCACTTCTTAGAAGTCTGACCTGAACAAGCATCCTTGCCAATGAATATTGCTATTGCAAGCCTTCGATTGCTCCTGATGGGAGTGAAAACTTTTTGTTGTGCTTGTTTCTTTGCTTTTACAGCTTTCTGCGAGTTAACTTCAGGAGAGCTTTCCAAGCAGAAGAGCTGGGGACCATTACCAGAATGGTGATCCAGCAGTTCTGGTTTCCCAGAAACATGGTGGATGCCCCATCCCTGGAAACATTCGAGTCAGGTTGGATGGGGCTTGGAGCAAGCTGGTCCAGTGGAAGGTGTCTCCCTGCCTATGGCAGGGGAGTTGGACTAGATGGCCTTTAAATTCCCTTCCAACCCAAACCATTCTGACTCCTCCTCTGGAAACAAAGTAGATATACTCTTTTATTTCTGAGGGATCAGTGGTATTATTGTAGTGTCAAGATACTAATCTAGAGTGACAACCTTCAGTAGGAAAAAAACCAGACAAAGATTCATGGGATAAACAACTAGAAATGTCATTTCAGACAGTCTGCATAACCCAGAACATCAAATTTCACCCATCATCCAGGCAGAGAATTAGAATAATTACCTAGGGCCTGGTCCTGAAAGGTGCTGAGTGCAGTCAAGTGGTCTCCGCTCATAGAGTTCAATATCTCAGGGGCTCTCAGCAGGGTCAGTCTTGGAGCCTGGGCAAAATAAGATAGGTTGGTCTTAGTCCAGTATTTATCAAAAAACCCCTACACAACCTATAATTAAAAAAAAAAAAAAAAAAAAACCAAACCAAAAACATTCCAGCTCCATGTGCCAGCCCCATTGTCCTGTACAGGGAACTAACTCAAGGGTCACGCAGACCATGGCTGAGATGCTCTCCAACCCTCTGCAGATCCAGGATGGATGCCTTCAGCACATAGGAGAAAAATTACACCGGCATGGATGTGCCCATGGAGCTTCAATCCACATCCAGGAACATCTCAATGACGTTCCTGGGGAGCACTGAGTTATCCAAGACACCACACCTGGACACGTTACGCCGCCAACACCACCCCAGAGCTCACACACCTTCCTGGCACAAGGCAAAGCCCAGGGTTGCCTTGGCAAGTCTACGGGAAGCGATAAACCTGGAGATAAGAGGAGTTATCCGTGTTTCCAGGGAGGAGGGCGAGGAACACCCCTCGGAGCTCCCTGCCCGGCTGGCAGTGACGCGCGGCACGACAGCCCCGGGCGGGTACGGCCGTGCCAAGTGCAGGGTGAAGGCAGGGAAGAGGATGACGACGGGGACAGGATGACTCCTCCACACAGCCCTTTGTTTTGGGAGGTCCCCTGAGATGCTTGGCTCACAGCGGCCAAGTCCTCCTTCTTTCCCTAAAAGGGGAACGGATGAGGGGAGGAAAACAATGCTCTCTCCTCAGCTGCCTAATGGAAGAACAAAAGCACAGTGATCCCTTCCAAAATTGTCTTTTGAGGAACAGACCATTTGAGCCCGAAGGCCCAGTATTTCTGGTTTATTTATTTCTGGATGAACTCCAGCCTGCCAGAGTCTTTCTGTCCTTCCTCTGGGCTCTTGCAAAACCCGCCCAAAGCCACAGGGATCATGCAGGGCTTGCACAGACCCCAAATCCCATAGAGGATTTAACACCCAGCACCTTGTAGAGATGATGAAGCCAGAGATGAGGTTCCTCCACCAGACTCCACCACAAGCATGCCTCAGTCACAGGGTGGACAGGGCTTGGAGCAACTTGGTCTAGTGAAAGGTGTCCCTGCCCATGGCAGAGGGTGAAACTGGATCATCTTTAGGGTCCCTCCCAACCCAAACCATTCTATTGATAGCCCTGGCCCAGCAGGATGCATTTGGCAGGGAGGGTCTGCTCCAGCCTGATCCCACTGAAAACTGTAACCAAAACCCACTAAAGCCAAAACCAGTACAAAACCAGCATCAGACCTTTCCTTGCCCAGCAGCAGTGTCTGCTAGGGAGCAGAAGGGGATTTCTGCTGTGCTGACTGCTCATGGAAAGTCCCTGACTGGCCCACAACCGTGGAAAAAACGGAAAATAGAACTTTAATACCAAGTTGGTGGCAGGCTGTCTATTTTTCTCTCCTGTGACTGGTTACCATGGATAAATTTCTGAGGTCGACCACGCAATTGTTCGCTGCACTGCTCCTATTAAACAGAGGATGATCAAATCATCCCATTTGTACCGTACTTTAATTTCCAGAAATTCTTTGTTCGTTTGTTTGCTTAAATTATTTCTCTCATTTGAAGAAACAATGCAGCCTTACAAAGCGAGGGCCCAAATCTCTCGAGCCACCCTGCTGTGGTTCATTACTTCTACACTAGTTAACAAGGCCAGTAATTTCCCTAAGGTTTAATAGAAAATCCTCTTTCCAGAATGCAGAGAGACAGGACATTTTAACAAACTCACTGCTGTATCCCAGTGATGCCACAGGAGAGGGATATCCTAGGCAAGTCACAGGTATTCCTCAGGGTTAGTATACAGAAGCAGGTAACATAAATGACACTTTTTTTCACCAGAGCTGGGTGAAAAAAACTCCTTCAGCTGGGGCAGGGGACCTGGGAATCAGAGCTCAGGTCATCAGCTCCACTTGGAAATGGGTTCCCGAAGCATTCCAGTCCGCATCCCAAAATACAGAGTGGTTTATTGCATTACGCTGGGATCAAGTAGATGACACTGGAGTGGCAGATCCAAGATGTACCTGGGCTGGGTATGTTGGAAGAGGCACACAACCCATTTCATTAATGACATGGATAGCAAAGTACACAGAACGCCTGCCCACTACCTGACCACAAACTGCCCTTCTCACTAGTTTTGTCAACATCTTTCTATGCCCAAATCAGAAGAAAATATTAAAATTTGAAATAAAAGACAGAGAAGAGCTTGTGGGAAACAGGCAAATACATAAAACATACATACACATACATTGGAATCACAGAATCAGAATAATTTGGGTTGGAAAAGGCCTTTAAACTAAAAAAACAAACTGAAAGAAACCCAGCTGGAGGACCAAACTAGGGTGGTGATCCAGTCCAAACCCCTTGCAATGAGCTGGGACATCTTAAATACACATCTTCAACATATATATATATGTTTTATACATATAAAAAACTGCCCAGTAAACCTCTATTGAGATGCACGCGCAGGTGAAAAGCTGGGTGAGAGGCTGGCAGTGCTGCCTTGAGTCACAAGGGTATTTACCCTACAAGAGCCTCTGCAGCTCCCTAATGCTATTTATACAACAGGATTTGTCAGGCAACAACTACAGATGTTCACAGGGAGTCTCCTTACTTATCCACTGATAACACCATGCGCCTGGGACAGCTGAACAAATCATACCACGCAAACAATAAACACGCGGGGCCCCGGTTAATCAGAAGGAGGGCGGTGAGGAATCCGGAGATTCCCACAGACTCCCTGCCTCGGGGAAGGAAACAAGAAAATGCCCTGACCTAAGCAGGGGTGAGTCCCACATACCCACAGATCACAGGGAGATCACAGGAGCTGTTTGCAGATCACTTACCGAACATGAATAATTCAGGCAGAAGCGGCTGGGAGTGTGAGAACAGATAGACGGGGGCTCTCTGCTGCTGCTGCTGCAGCTTTGGCAGGTTTTATTTTATTGAGCGAGGCCAAGAAAACACGAGCCCCAGCAAAAAACCCTTAGTTCAGTGTTGCCAGTGCCGTGACTTCACTGACAATCCCGTGATATATGGTCTTTCACCAGACCCCCAGCTGACTATGAATGCCATTTCCCTTTCTCCTCGAGGCATTTCTGTGATGATTTGGCTGGGCAGGTAGGGATTAACGATGTGCTTTTTTTGAAAAGCCCTCAGTACCCACCTGCAGTCCAGTGAATAATTACATGAATCACAGAATCACTGAATGGTTTGGGTTGGAAGGGACCTTAAAGACCATCCAGTTCCACCCCATGGGCAGGGACACCTTCCACTAGACCAGGTTGCTCCAAGCCCCGTCCAACCTGGCCTTGGACACTTCCAGGGATCCAGAGGCAGCCACAGCTTCTCTGGGCAACCTGTGCCAGGGCCTCACCACCCTCACAGACAACAATTCCTTCCCAATATCCCATCTAACCCTGCCCTCTGGCAGTGGGACACCATTCCCCTTGTCCTAGCTCTCCATCCCTAGTCCCAATTTTCCTTCAAAATAAAAATATTGACTCTGTCCACACTTTCTCCCACTTTTAAACTACTTAAGCTTAATCTTCTGAATTAAAAACTAAATTTAAACACCCTTCAGCACCACTGCTGGTAGCACTCTTGATCCAGAAAGCTCAGTTTGGAAGTGCTATCTCAACGTTGACTCTGACAGATGTTCTGTTACCCACATAAAGAAAATTTCTGTTCAGTCCTCAGCATAAATGGACTATCTCTGGTAGGAAACCTGTTTCTTGCCTTTATAGACCAAGCACAGCCCACATCTCTGCATTAGCCCAAAATAATTGCTTGGCCACACACCTCACTGGGTCCCCAGGGCTTTGAGTTCTCCACCCTTGTGTTTACATACCATGCAGAAAAATTAACTAATCAATATACGTCTGACAGGTGTTCTTTGAAAGGGACACCAGGTCTCCAAAACACAAGATGATGAAAGGAGTAATCCAGTAGATTAGACTGACCAGAAAAGCAAGGATTGTAGCATGACAGTGGAGAGCACAGCTTTAAGTCTTTCTCTTGATATTTATATGGCTTTATTTGCACATCAAACTCTATGACAATTAGCTGTTCATAAATCTATGACAAAATTATGCTGTGTAGCTCCCCAAAGTAAAGAAAAGCTGGGGCTGGGCTGCATAATCATCCTTAACTCTGCCCCTCCAGGTGTTCCCACTCCAGCTCACTCCTAATGACCGTGTGCTCCCAAAGAACTACTGTAAAATGGGAATCTTTTGTAATCATACAGATGTATATGCAACATTTCCTTATATTGTAAGCTACTTTGTGTGTGGTGGGATCTCTGCATCTCCCACAGCCTATTCAGGATCACAACTTCTTCGTTCTCCTCCAGCTACTTACATTTGACCCTGGAGAAAAGGAGGCTCAGGGGGACCTTCTTGGGCTCTCCAGCCCCCTGACAGGATATTGTAGCTAAGTGGAGGTCGGTCTCTTCTCACAGGGAACAAGGAGAGGACAAGAGGAAAAGGCCTCAAATTGCACCAGGGGAGGTTTAAGTTGGATATTGGGAGAATTTTCTTCACCAAAAGGATCGTCCAGCCCTGGCACAGCTGTCCAGGGCAGTGGTGGAGTCCCCATCCCTGGAGGGATTTAAAAGCCATGTGGATGTGGGACTTGAGGACATGGTTTAGTGGTGGCCTTGGCAGTGCTGGGGAACAGTTGGACTTGATGATCTTGGAGGGCTTTTCCAGCCTAAAAGACCCTGTGATTCTGTAATTCTGCCCCCTGTTCTAAGACTTGTCTGCAGGGCAAGCTTTGGCTCTGTCGAGGCTTTGTGCAACCCTGCAGGACAGCTGGGATCCTGTTTGAAGACCTGTAGGCAACGCTGGGATGCAAACAATAACAGAGATGCATGCTCTTATTTTAAATATCAACAGGAAGGGATGCAATAGCCTGGTCCTGAAGCAGCACCACTTACGTCAAGCGTGCCCTGGAAGGGGTGTGCACTTGTAGACAAACCAGCCACCTCAATGAGGTCTT